CGCCTTTAAGTATCAGAGAACAAGAAGGAAGCAGTCTTGGTCCACAGGAACAACTTGAGCAGGTTTTGACTATGCTTAATGTGAACTTGGACCCACCTCTAGACAAAGTTATAAATAACTGCAGAAATATATGTAATATAACAACTTTGGATGAAGATATGGTAAAAACAAGGGTTAAAGTCCTAAGGAGCATCTATGAATTTCTTAGTACAGACAAAAGAGAATTCCGGTTTCAGCTTCGAGGGGTTGCTTTTGTAATGGTTGAAGAAGGTTGGAAGCTTCTGAAGCCTGAGGAAGTCGTAATAAATCTTGAGTATGAATCTGACTTCAAACCTTACTTGTACAAACTTCCATTAGAACTTGGCACCTTCCACCAACTATTTAAACACTTAGGCACTGAAGATGTTATTTCAACAAAGCAGTATGTTGAGGTTCTGAGTCGCATATTCAAGAACTCTGAAGGAAAACAGCTTGATCCTAACGAAATGCGTACTGTTAAACGAGTTGTCTCTGGCCTGTTTAAAAGCCTTCAAAATGATTCTGTTAAGGTTAGAAATGAGCTTGAAAATGTGCGAGATCTGGCTCTTTATCTTCCAAGCCAAGATGGTAGATTGGTGAAATCAAGCATCTTAGTTTTTGATGATGCACCACATTACAAAAGTAGAATACAAGGAAACATTGGTGTTCAAATGCTTGTTGATCTTAGCCAGTGTTACTTAGGAAAAGACCATGGTTTTCACACCAAACTGATAATGCTGTTTCCCCAGAAGCTGCGACCCCGTCTCCTCAGCAGTATCCTTGAGGAGCAGTTGGATGAAGAGTCACCCAAAATTTGTCAGTTTGGAGCACTTTGTTCTCTCCAAGGCAGGCTCCAGTTACTGCTGTCTTCTGAACAGTTCATCACGGGACTAATTAGAATTATGAAACACGAAAATGACAACGCATTCTTAGCCAATGAAGAGAAAGCCATAAAACTTTGCAAAACCTTGAGAGAAGGCTTGAAAGTTTCTTGTTTTGAGAAGTTGCAAACAACACTGAGAGTGAAAGGTTTTGCTCCTATTCCTCACAGCAGAAGTGAAACATTCGCCTTTTTAAAGAGATATGGAAATGCAGTAATATTGCTCTATATACAGCACTCAGATAGCAAAGACATCAATTTCCTTCTAGCATTAGCAATGACCCTGAAATCTGCAACTGATAATCTGATTTCTGATACGTCCTATTTAATTGCTATGTTGGGTTGCAATGATATTTATAGAATTAGTGAGAAGCTTGACAGTTTAGGTGTGAAGTATGACTCTTCAGAACCATCAAAGCTTGAACTACCTATGCCTGGCACTCCTATACCAACTGAAATCCACTATACTCTTCTTATGGATCCAATGAATGTTTTCTATCCTGGTGAATACGTTGGCTATCTTGTCGATGCTGAAGGTGGTGATATCTATGGGTCGTACCATCCCACCTATACATATGCTATCATTGTGCAAGAAGTAGAAAGGGAAGATGATGAAAATTCCAGTTTCCTGGGCAAGATTTATCAGATTGACATTGGATACAGCGAGTACAAGATAGTGAGCTCTCTTGATTTGTACAAGTTCTCAAGGCCTGATGAAAGTTCTCAGAGCAGGGGCAGTGCACCATCTACTCCAACAAGTCCCACAGAATTTCTACCACATGGGCCAAGAACAATTCCTCCTCATTTTCCCGGAAGAGAGAGTCACAAATCCTCCTCCTCCTCCTCTTCCTCTTCATCTAAACATCATTCTCCCAAAAAGGCTAAAGCAAATTCTTTATCAGAGATTTTGAGGGAAGTTACGTCTGTGATGGAACAAGCTTGGAAGCTTCCAGAATCTGAAAGGAAAAAGATCATAAGAAGGCTGTATCTTAAGTGGCATCCAGACAAAAATGCAGAGAACCTTGATATTGCCAATGAAGTTTTCAAGCATTTACAAAATGAGATCAACAGATTAGAAAAGCAGGCTTTTATTGACCAAAATGCAGACAGGGCATCCAGAAGAACATTTTCATCATCAGCTTCTCGATTTCAATCAGACAAATTTTCATTTCAAAGGTTTTATACTTCATGGAACCAGGAAGCAACGAGTCACAAATCTGAAAGACAACAGTCTAAAGAAAAATGTCCATCTTCTACAGGTCCTTCATATTCCCAGCGGTTTTTTATGCCACCTACATTCAAGTCAGTTGGAAATCCCGTTGAGGCTCGTAGGTGGTTACGGCAAGCTAGAGCAAACTTTTCAGCAGCAAGAAATGACCTTCATAAAAATGCCAACGAATGGGTTTGCTTTAAATGTTACCTGTCTACCAAGCTTGCTTTGATTGCTGCCGATTATGCCGTAAGGGGCAAGTCTGATAAAGATGTGAAACCCACTGCACTGGCACAAAAGATTGAGGAATATAGCCAACAGCTTGAAGGCCTTACAAACGATGTTCACACACTGGAAGCATATGGAGTCGATAGCTTAAAAACTCGCTATCCAGACCTCCTTCCTTTTCCGCAGATTCCAAATGACAGGTTCACTTCTGAAGTTGCTATGAGAGTGATGGAGTGTACAGCATGTATTATAATAAAACTTGAAAATTTTATACAGCAAAAGGTATGAGGTTAAAGACATGGTGGTTTCATATAGACATGCCATGTTTCCAGCCAGTTTTCTCCAAGCTATCGTTTTTTGGTGGCATGCTACTGTTTGATGTGTCATGCAGCCAACCATACAGCTTTGTGTGACAGGGGTGGGAGTCATCCTCTTACTCAGTGGGGGTGGGGGGAGGAAATCATGGTCACAGATGCGGTAAGATCTGAATTCACTTTTGCTAGCAAAAGCTATATACTAATGTGATGGAATAAAATGTGACTTATGCAGTTACTGTACTTTGGAAGCTATGCAGTTCCTAGCAGCTTATAAATAAAATGCATATATTTCTGTGGCAATGAGGGCCAAATTAGATGTTCCATGGCAAACCTGGATTTGGGAAACTCAACTATCACTGAACATGCTTTGCTGCAAAAGCAGCCAGAGAATGGCATGATTTACAGTAGAAAAGTGTTTGATGGGAGAGGAGCTTTTAATCCTTCCTTGGCCCAATACTTGTTTCTCGTGACCTCCCATTTTCTCCTGTAACAAAGCAAATGAGTGCCTGGGATCTGACTGGGGAACATGAGGGCATGTTGCAAAGGGAAAGTGATAGGCAGAAGGATTAATTGGCTCCTTGCTCTCGGACATTTCTCCATTGTAAACTGTGCTTTCCCACTGCTGCTTTGCAACAGTTTGATGACATCCCTGGATCTGGTAGTGAACATCTTGTTCAGCCCAAGGTACACAGGATTTAAATGTTACATAATCTTGTTTTAAGCAACAGCTTCTTATTAGCAAAACTGTAGAACACGTATTTAAAGATTTGCAGGGAGACTGAGCTGTAAAATATAGTTATGTACACAGTACAACGGTAAAATTCACAGGGCTGAACTGCACTTTATGTAACCAAAGCCTAGGACTATGTCAGTAAAATCTGTTTGTATGTGCAGAGATATATATGTATGTACCCCCAGATTGCATCCATTCAGTTTTATGGTATGAGGTGGTGTCATTTTTCAGTGTACTAATATAAGACTGAGTATGTTACTCTCTTTTAAGGAATTGAAAAGTTTGGAGAAAAGTCACTTTGAAGCATTCTGTATTCATTTGTTTGCTATGGACATTCATTTCACTCACAGTAATACGATCTGCAGGATCTGATTTATAGATTTGCTGCAGTTTTACATCAAACATTGCATCAGAGGTTGCTAAGGGACCTTTGACACAGCACAGTATTTTATTCCTTAATGTTTGGTGACTTAAACGCAAGACTTATTTTCTTATAACCTACTTTATGTGTTTTTGACATTGTTACATCTTTTGTTGAATGAGAATTGCATGTGCATTACCTAGTAAAATACTTGATTTTCTTTAGGGTTTTTGAAACGGAAACTGCACACCAAAACTTTTTTTTTTAAGTAGTCTTACTTCAGCTTTTTGTTTTGTTTATATATTTTTCTCATGAGCCATCCCTGGAAATAGTATGATGTCGTAAAATATTTTGGTATACAGTGGGATAATTTTTTATTACATATTAAATGGTGCTGCAATGTTACGCTTTTTGATTTTGTCTCACACTGTGGCACATGAGATGTCTGATTTTTAGTTCATAATTTTTCTTTTATAAATTGTAATACTTTTGATAATGCCATGTAAATTATTCAGTATTTGTAAAGAAAATCATGACAACATGTAAAATAAAGCTGCTGTGGATAGTATTTATGTTCCATTATTACCTAACTGTCACAATTATTTACTTGATTAGTACACTGAAACTATAATTTTATGTAAAGAATGTAAAATAAAATAGGGGTAAGATGAGGTTAGATAAATTACAACCAAAATTATTGCAATACAGAAGGACAAAATAGTTGGCAGAAGCTCTTCAAGAAAATGTGTAAATAATAAAAGGGCTTTCAGTGTAGAAAATATCTCAAGAAAATCTAGGCTTTGAACCTTCTGGTTGCAAAGCCGTATGATTATTTCTGTTGTTAAGTGCCATAAAATGATTTTAATAATAAACTTGAAGATTCTTCAAATTGGTGTGTTGAATATTTATGTATATTTATATGAGACTTCTTTCACCAGGACCTTTAGCAGAGGGTGAGAACTCACTTTGGTGAATCAACCATGCCCTCTTTCCCATCCCTGCTGCTCTTTTTGTGATGATAAAATGTGTATTCATTGATTTACTACCCCAATTGCTTTTGGCGAACCATTGCAGATTTACTTTCTCATGCAGAGGCTATTTCATTCTAATGCCATCATGATCTGAAACTAACTATTCCAGTATATTCATATTTTTCTGCCCACATCTTTTTTTTAAAAAACCCCCCAAATAATTTCATCATAGGATGTTCATAGTAAATTTACTTTGTGTTTTTTTAATATAAAAAACCCAGCAACATTAAAAATGCATGTTTATTAACCTCTAAAGTTCACAAATCCAGGGTCGATGCAAAATCTGAATTATGAAAGAAGCCTATTCCATGTGTGTTGTGATAAATCAATTTTAACCTGTATTTGCTACTGTGTTTCATTTTATATGCTGCGGAGAGCACTGCCTCACAAGGATGAGTAGAAGGTATTTTTGGGGACTAATGGATAGAAAGAGTACTCAGGGCTAACCTTCTCTTCCTTTGTGGCCCATGAAGCAAGCCAGAGCAGGGGACCTCAGATGGCCAAACCATATGGAGTACTGTAACAGAGAAGGGGAATTGTGCAGGGAAGAACTGTCCAGCTCATCTGCCTTTCCCTTTCTGCATTTACAACAGGGTTAGAGAACCTTTTTCAATCTGAGAGTCATATTGCTTTGTGGGCAGTCTTCCAGGGGTTGCATGCCAGTGGTGAATGGGGTCAGAGGTGAAACGGGGCAGAGCAATGGGCCTGACTCCTATCCTTTGCATAGTAAGCTACAGTACATTCCACTATGCATGCGACAGTGGTCTCTGCATCCACCCACCCACTCCTCTCCGTCCAGGCCTTTGTATAGTAGATTACATTTCAGCCATCCATACATCCCTCCATCCAGACAGACAAGCAAAAGGCATGATCACAGTTCAAGGACACATTTCAGCCAGGCAAAAGATCTCAAGAACATGGAGTGGGGCCAGCAAAAGGCCTGGGGCACTGTATTTGTTTCTTGGGCCTGGGGTTCTCTATTTCTGCTGTAGAGCTCCCCCTGCACACTTTTGGTATACCTGCTTCCATATATTTTGGGTGGTGTTCAGCTAAACATTTGCATTGCATTAATGCTATTCCAATGGGACTTTGTCCCTCTCTCCTGTGTGACCTGCACTGCCCATCTGCTCTGGAAGGTTGGAGGAATGCTCTCCTTAGTTCTATGCTGAATACAACTCCATTTGATGCATTTCGATTTTAAATGTAAATGTTAAGTTGCATTTCTGTGCTGTGTGTAGTAGCATCAGTGACTCTAGACGCTACTACAAAACCTGACTAAAAACAGCCAAAGAAAGTAGTCCAGACAAGCTGTTTATTGACATTCATTCTGATTTGTTTGCGGGGATATTATACGAAGCTACGGCAAGCGTTATCTCACACTTTCCAATGCATTTTCCCATTGCTTTCCTTGTCACAAGAAGTCTGATAGTTTTGGGGAAATGGGTATGTTTGCAAGGGCACCAGATCAACTTGAACTGCAAAACCTGAGCTTGCCTGTATGTGACTGAATCCCACCTGAAAATAGCAGCAGGCTGGGAGCACGCAGTGTGGGGTGTTAGCTGCTCATCTCGCAAGCCTGACTATAATACAGGCAAGTGGAAACGACATCAGCCACTGCCAAGTACAACTTTCCATCTGTGCAAACACAGACTTCATAGAGCCCAAAGGATATCTCAGAATCTCCGCTTGTTCCTTGAGGCAATTTGGGCAGCCGCAGTCCAGCATTTAGCATAAGCTGCATGGAAGAAAGACAGACACGAATGGATTTGTTTGTGTAGCAGTAACTTAGGAACAAAAAGTGTGGTGGCACCTTAAAGGTTAATTTATTACGGTGCAAGTTTTGTGGACCTGAGAACTCACTGGAGCCAGCCCTAAACAGAACTGTTGACATGTGCTGGGCCCAGTAAATTAAACGTTGACTCAATTGTGGTGATTAAATGTACATCAGAGCTTCCCTTTTAAAACTAATTTCTACTACAGCCACATTGCAAATTTAAACAGAACATTTGAATCTATGATTGGCGATTCCCCAAAGTTGGGGAAACACTTACTGTATTTTTTGCTCTATAAGACTCACTTTTTCCCTCCTAAAAAGTAAGGGGAAATGTGTGTGCGTCTTATGGAGTGAATGCAGGCTGTGCAGCTATCCCAGAAGTCAGAACAGCAAGAGGGATTACTGCTTTCACTGCGCAGCGAGATTCAGAATATTTTTTTTCTTGTTTCCTCCTCCAAAAACTAGGTGCATCCTGTGGTCTGGTGCATCTTATAGAGCAAAAAATACGGTAATTTTTTGTGGTCGCTGGCACCTTAACAAACAGCCCAGACGTGAAACATGGCTGAGACCTCAATGCAAAAGACAAATTTCAATAGGGCTTTGTGTCAGTGGACTTTATTCCCACAGCAGCAAGCTCCTTCATGGAGGGCAAGATAACAGAGTGCAAAATGCTCTATGATTTCCGGGAAATGAAACAAATGAAAATGTTCATATTTTAAAATGGGAACTTCATGACAGCTGAATGGAATATTAGATAGTTCTGAATGTGTCGACTGGTAATTTCACCATCAATATATCGTGACTATACATTTAGATAAAATGGAGTCACAGGCACTGCAAGGGATTAGTTGGCTCTTCGTGAAAATCACCAACTACTTAGGGCCAGCATAGTTCTCATATTTTGCTGAAACTAAAACCAGCAGGAAACTGGTAGGAAGACAGCCCAATGTCTGAAATGTCAATGCTGTCGCTCTGAATACCAATTGTAAATGGATCGTTTGTTGATGGTAGATTAAGAAATAATTAAAATCTCACCATGCTATCGCTGCTCTGCAACTTGATATCCAGATGAGAAAGAGCCGTAATAGTCCCACTTTCGGCTTTAATATTAATCCCTCGTGGAGCATCCATGGTGAGAGACCGAGTTGGCGATTCAAGCCTGAAAGAAACCAGAAGGAAGATCTTAGCATCTTAATAAATTGTGGTTTTATTTATTGCATTTATTTGTAATTTATAAGCCTGTCCATCATAATATAACAACAACAACAACAACATGATGCCAAACAGGTCAACACCGTATTGTAAAATCAGTTACCATAAGGCAATTTTAAATATAAACTTCAAACACAATTTTAAATATAAACTTCAAATATAAATTTCAAACAGAATGCAGCAGATGAAACAACCAGCAACAGGCTGTTTTAGTGCAAGTGATACTGATTTAATGGTATTGACTTCCAAGTGAGAGTTTAGAATTCTAGGCTGGCAGCTGATTCTTCCGAGAAGTTACTGTTAGCCAGCAACACAATGTCCCATGATGTGGTGGTGGTGGCCTGTGTCAGATTCCTGGTGTAGTTATGGCAGCCGAATCATCTCTACTGCCTGAATAGTCCTAGGACTGTAGCAGTGTGTGTGTGTCTGACATGCCTTTTTTAAGAAGCTAAACTTGAGTAGCATAACTCAACGACCTGGGTCACAGGCTCTGTAGAGTAGCTAGCTACCTGGATATATTTAGAAAGTTGTTCCTCTGTGAGCAGATTGCCCCCCACTACTGAGTATGTTCACAAGGTAAAAAAGGGTTTGACAATAAGGGAACAGAGCTTAGGGGAGTGAACATACAACCATCTTTAAAAGGTTCAAATCAGCTTACTGAAGTTCCAGACAAAAGCCTATTTCCCACGCCACATTAATCCAATACATTATGTTTGACATGAAGCAATGCAAGGATAGAAAAGTGGAAAGGCAATGAGTGGGTGGGATTCCCCTGAAGTTTTGCAGTATCGCAGCAAAAGTGTGGGCTTGCTGCAATGAGCTTGTTCCATTAAGGCCAAGGCAGCTAACCCTGGAGAAGCTGAGAGAGATGGAGGCACACAGTGTCTTTCAGGGAGCTCCCTTACAGACAGACAGACTAAAGAAGCTACTCCCTCAAATGAGGGCTAGCAAACCTCAGGCCTAGGGGCCAAAACTGGTGCTCAAGGTGCATCTATTTGGCTTTGGTTGCCGGTGGATGACTTATGTCAGGAATTGGATAGGGGGAGTGCTGGTTCCGCTGTAAAACACATTGTACAGATTGAATAAGCTTTGAGAATTAAAACTTCTGTAAAGAGAAGCCACAAAATTAATTCTCACTTTGTAAACCTTAAACTCAAGTGAAGCCAAGAAACAAATTATGATACACAAGAGCCTTGAAAACCAGTACAGTGGTACCTCGGGTTACATACGCTTCAGGTTACAGACTCTGCTAACCCAGAAATAGTGCTTCAGGTTAAGTACTTTGCTTCAGGATGAGAACAGAAATTGTGCTCTGGCAGCACAGCGGCAGCAGGAGGCCCCATTAGCTAAAGTGGGGCTTCAGGTTAAGAACAGTTTCAGGTTAAGAACGGACCTCCGGAATGAATTAAGTACATAACCCGAGGTACCACTGTAGTGCCACAAGGTGGCAGCAAAGGACAGCAGTCACTTTGACATCAACTTAGAATCATAGAATTGTGGAGCTGGAAGGGACACAAAGGGTCAACTAGCCCAACTTTCTGCAATGCAGGAATCAATAAGAAGTGCATCACTTCTGAATGCAAACAAGTATTCACAATCCAGCCAAATATAGGCACCACTAGTACTGGAATGTAGCCCGAAAGCAAAGCAAGCAGCAAAACTAAAAATGCATGTGTTTGGTCAGTACCACGATGGGAGAGTGTTTGGAAGTCTGTTACGTATGTCACACTGAGCCCTATACTGGAAGAAAGGCAGGAAATAAACTTATCTTGTTTGGCACTCTGCTTCTGGTTTTTTAGGGCAAAAGCTATGCCTGTAGGCAAAATTGTTCTGTGATTCATCTAGTCCATGGGCACTCAAACTAAGGCCCGGGGGCCAGATCTGGCCCAATCGCCTTCTAAATCCGGCCCGCAGATGGTCCGGGAATCAGCGTGTTTTTACATGAGTAGAATGTGCCCTTTCATTTAAAATGCATCTCTGCGTTATTTGTAGGGCATAGGAATTTGTTCATATTTCCCCCCCCCAAAATATAGTCCAGCCCCCCACAAGGTCCGAGGGACAGTGGACTGGCCCCCTGCTGAAAAAGTTTGCTGACCCCTTATCTAGTCAAAACATTTGACATCCTTTCCTCTAATTTTAGTCTCTTTCATTATAACCAGTGTATTTGTTTTGTTTCGCACTAAAATTTCATCATTGTACCTGTGCCCCCATTCACCTTGTTCATTTCTTTGAGAGCCTTTCTTTGAGAGTCTTAGCACAGCTACTACTTCATGGCCCTGGAACCTAATTTACAAGGCAAACAGCTTGAGGTGGCTCATGCAAGTGAGCCAAGCCACACCTGGAAAGAGAAAGGGGGAGGAGGGAAACCCCAGAATCTCTGCTGCTTTAAACATGAGAAAAATCCTTTTCTAGATGTGGTGAGTAGTTGGATTCTGGTAGCTACCAAAAGCCATTTGCCTAAACATTTCCTCACCAGCAAACAAAACTGCAGGGCAGACACGGCAACTGAGGAGGACAGAAGCAAACTTGCTTCTTCATGCTGCTGCTTCTTGCCATAGGGAATTTATGTAACAGCCCAGCCCAGTTCAGATCTGGATCTGGACATTGTGTGGGCAGCCTGCAGCTCTGAGACACACATTCCATTGTGTTTCTGGCTAGCATGACCAGCCTGTGGGTGGGTGTCTAAGAAGTTGGTTTGCATTTCAGGCCTCTTCAAGCTGGGCAGCTCTTACAGGAGCTTATTTTCCATGCTTTGAAATTGTTTTACAGCTTCTACTTTTTGAGACAACATGTTTTTGCTGAAGAAGTGCATTATGCACCTTTAAGCAGGCATCTCAGTTCCAGGGGTTTCTGGAGGAGATGTATTATCTAGATCAGGCATAGGCAAACTCGGCCCTCCAGATGTTTTGGGACTACAACTCCCATCATCCCTAGCTAACAGGACCAATGGTCAGGGATGATGGGAATTGTGGTCTCAAAACATCTGGAGGGCTGAGTTTGCCTATGCCTGATCTAGATCCATTTCAAGCTTCCCTCAGGCCTGGTTGTGGAACAAAGATGGCTTTGGTTTGCCTTGGTGGACGACTTATGCCAGGATTTGGATTGTGTGTCCTTGTTGGTGCTGTTGGACATCTCTGTGGCTTTTGATGCAATCAACCATAGTATCCTTCTGGGCCATCTTGCTAAGACAGGACTTGGAGGCACTGTTTTACAGAGTGGGTCTGATCCTTCCTGGAAGGATGAACCCAGAAAGTGGTGCTGGAGGTGGGAAACGACTCCTGCTTGACACTTGGGTAATTGGCCTGCGGGGTCCCTTGGGATTCTGTTCTGTCTCCTGTGCTAATGAACATTTACATGAAACCACTGGGACGTGGGTGGCGCTGTGGGTTAAACCACAGTGCCTAGGACTTGCCGATCGTATGGTCGGCGGTTCGAATCCCCGCGGCAGGGTGAGCTACCGTCTTTCGGTCCCTGCTCCTGCCCACCTAGCAGTTCGAAAGCACCCTTAAGTGCAAGTAGATAAATAGGTACCGCTTTATAGCGGGAAGGTAAACGGTGTTCCGTGTGCTGCTCTGGTGCAGGCTTGCCAGAGCAGCGATGTCACACTGGCCATGTGACCCGGAAGTGTCTGCGGACGGCGCCGGCTCCCGGCCTCTAGAGTGAGATGAGCGCACAACCCTAGAGTCTGTCAAGACTGGCCCGTATGGGCAGGGGTACCTTTACCTTTACTGGGAGAGTTGTCCAGAGTTTCTGGGTTTGGATGCTGATGACATCCAGTACTATTTCTCTTTCCCACCTAAATCCAAAGCAACTGTCTCAATTCTAAACCAGTGTCTGTCATCACTCATGGATAGGAAACAGCCACTGAAAAGGCCTTTTTGGGACAACGCTAACTGGGGAGAACCCAGAGTTGACTCCAAGAAGAATGTAGGGCCAGTGATGGCTGATATTCAGGGAATTGCTCCTTTAGGTACTTGGGTTGCTAGCTTCAGAGAAATCCCGATTTTAACTCTGGAAGAGCAGCTTAATATGGTAATGTTTGTGGCTTTCGCATAAAACTAATTCCATTCCATGGACAGAGCTATCACATCAGATTCCCCCTCTGTTACATGAAGCTGTAGTTAATACACCTATACAGATCAATTCTTTTTATTTGTCATTTTAACATACTGTGCATATGGCCATGCAGGGCCTGATAATACATAAGAGGTTATTTGCTTTTGAGACAAATCCTTACCTCAGCTCTTTCGCGTTGTCAAGACCTCTAACACCTTTAATGAGTGGTGTTTCTATAGAATGTTCACAAAGAGCTCCTTCTGGCCCTGGAAGAGAGGAAACAAACCAGTTGTGGCTGTTAGGTGTCAGAGGGAAGAGACAGCTCCCCTTTCCCGTTACAAGGGGGAAAACAAACTACGGTAGGAGATCCTCATAATGGTCTCACAAAACATCAGGTTCGCTGACCTTAGTGGAATGTGTGTACAAATTCAAGCCTTAAGGGAAGGCATTTTCAGACTGCATATGGTCTTGGAAACCTCTGATACTTGCTTCACATGTCATAAGGCGTTTCTGTTCAAAGTGTTTACAGGTTGTAAAATGTGATGATCCTATGATCCTTTGTCCTATGTAGATTTGGTATACAGGTAAATAGTGTTTCTGTGCGCTCTGGCTTCAGTCACGGTCCTCTGTGTGCCAGAAGCGGTTTAGTTATGCTGGCCACATGACCCAAAAAACTGTCTGTGGACAAACGCCGGCTCCCTCGGCCTGAAGCAAGATGAGCGCCGCACCCCATAGTCACCTTTGACTGGACTTAACCATCTAAGGATCCTTTTCCTTTACCTACCTAAACATGTGTTGGAAGCTTCTACCTACTGGTGCTTTGACCGTATGCGGAGCTTCTGAGTATATGAGCAACAGAGGAAGTTGCCTTATACCATTTTTACAGACCCAAGTGACTGAACTTGAGACCTTTTGCATGCAAAGCTATGGCCCATCTGCTAAAAGTGCAAGGGGGACAACTCCCTCTTTATTTGCAGCCCCACAACATAACCCATAAACAATTTCCAAGGGACCTCCAACCCCAGGTAGTTTTTCTTTGTGGGGGGATGCTGCAGAGATAAGGAGGAGGATGGGGAAATCCCATTCTGTGTTGCATTGAGGGAAGGTTCCAAGCAATCAAAAACTCGTTTGCAGGATTGTGAGATGTTAGGATCTTACACGGATGTCATGTTATGTTGAAGCCGATGTGGCCTGAGGGTGTGTTGTTAACATAAGAAGATGTGGTGTTTATATCATAAGGATATATGCTAATACAATCATTTTGCTTATTTCATGTAGATTCTACCTCTAATTAAAGGGTTACTGTACACATTTTTTTGCATTTCATTTTCCTCTGACCTCAGTGCTTACCGTTCCTCCTGTCTCCACTCCCTTTGTATATATACCTGAAACGACATGCATCTGATGGACTCTCATCCAGAAAAGCTTGTGCTATTTTTTAGCTGCCACAATACTCTTTCTTGTTTTTGCTAGAACAAGAATGTTAGTCAGCTTGCATCCTTTTCCTATGAGCGTCAGCTTACTGAATTTTAATTAAGAGACTGTCATCTTTATTCTACCAACAAATTAATAAAACTGAAATAAGTGCTTTCATCTAACAGTGTGGGTGAAATTTGGAAGATGATATTTTGCCTCCATCAACTAAAGGTGGGGCCAGCAGTAAACAAAATACCATATAAAGTGAAACCTATGGTTAATGAATGACTGTTTTCTGCAGCAGTGAGTTTGTTTTGCTTTTAGAAGAATGTCTTCTTAAAGGATTTTTTGAGCTGTTCCTTACACTTGCATGCAAACCTGTGACTCGAAGTCTGTCTGTACCAATTGCAACTTCATCTTCATCCACTGTAAACAGAGGCTTTCCATCCAGATTCATGGACTTGATCTGAAATTCCTGACCATCAAATTGTACCATGTCTGGACCTAAGAAGCACACAAGCATTATTAGTATTTTTTAACTGAACCATTATTATTTGCTTTTTCTTAAGTTGCATTTATGAGCTGCCAATGATACAATATACTGTGACACACCACCCCTATATCTGAGCAGGTGTTATAGATTCCAGGGGTACCAGGAGCACTTTAACCCAGGATCTGTTTCCTGTGGGACAATAAGGCACAGCAGAGATTGTGGTGTCTTTATGATATATGGTTCATTTACACACATATATAACTTGAACCCTACAATGCAGGGGTCCACAGCATTCCTACCCCAAGAATACTGGTATTGTCTTTTAAATGAAGTCCTGTGTTCAGGGAGGGAGGAAGCCCACCCATTTGCAAATGGGATTTGCACTCTCACCCTTTGACTTGCTAAGAGCTGAGTTCAATAAACACCTGATTCATGTTGCTTCCCCAAGATTAAGGGGCACAATTTAAGATATCTGCCTGACTTAATTAGTTTTCATATATGCCAATAACAGAGGCTTATAAGTGGGTCCACCACATTTCCCGGTTCTAATGTACCAATTCTAATTAAATTCTAACATTCGTTAAACCTAAACATTGAACAGCCATAGATCTATAACAATATGTTTATAAAGTTTAGGACATTGGGACTGCAATCCTATTCCTTCTTACCCGGGTATAAGCCCTACTAAACACAGTGGGACTTATGTCTGAATAGAGATGTATAAGATTGCACTGTAGATTATGGTCCCAGTTTCCAGCTTTCATTAGGAGAAAAAGTAGAATTTTCCTAATGAAATAAAAAGGAAAAATACTTTGGGGCTGAGCTAGGTGGAACACACTATGCAAAAATGTGCACATGTGACTCTGCTGTGAAAAGTGGAGAAGAATGGATATAGTGTAGAACTGAATCACGCCTTAGAATTACAGGTTGCATATGATCCTATGCATCTTTTCTCAGAAGAAAATCCCACTGTGTTCAATTTTTCCTATTCCCTGTGTATAAAACTGCATGCTTAATTTCTAACTAGTCCATATCTAATCCACATCAGTGTAGCATGCTTATCACGTAAATTGTTGTACAAATTGGACACTGATATCATCTCTAGGGCTAAACAGCTTGGGGAAGATCTGCAAAGGAGGAGACAAAGATTAAAGCAATCAGCTCAGGTTTTCTTTTCCAGTATTTGCAGGTCCTGTAGTTTTGTGTTCCCTGATAGGAAGCGTCAGATCTCCTTCCAAGGGGGAAGACAGAGGCCTGATGTTGGATGCCAACACACCCCAACCAGGAAAGAATTTATGTCAGTTCATGAATCCCCCCTCCCATTTTGTAAGGGGTGTGAGAAACCTAATGCTCTACCCCTTATATCTGGATGTGGCTATTCAATTGCATTTGGCGCTCTCTCACTCCTGCTCCTTTTGGACAGCAGCCCTACTTGAGTTGACTATCCAAGACCATTTGTATGGCCTCTGGATAGACATGGGATCACCACAATGAATGTGCATATTCAAAACCTTCAAAATGCAAACTGAAGAAACGTAGCTTAAACCTACCCACACTTAATCTGCCTGTGACGTTCCCATCAGGATTGCGTGCATTTAGAGTCACATTATGAGTGGATTGCAAAAGCAGAGATGAGTCCTAGTGTAAGGGGCGAGGGGAAAGAGATGCAAATTTAGAAAACTTTCAGATATTCACCACAGGAAAAGCTAAGCATCTTAATGCCTCCAATGCTCTCAAGTAGCCTATGATAGCCTTGGTAAACGAGTAACTTCTTACTCATGGGTAACTGAGCAGGCCCTGCTTGCCTCAGCCCTGTTCAAAAACATTCAAACCATTCCTGAATATACCTGTCAGGGGTGCCAACTTGAATAAAATATTGTGGGGGCCCGGGTAAGCCCCGCCCCACATAATCAATCACATGACACAGTGAACACACGCTATTTGAATGGGAATGCTCATCAACTTTGCAGGAGCCCAGCGTCCTCAAATATTTTATTGTGGGCGGGTCAATGCTCCCACAGACCCTAGGAGTTGGCTCCTATGATACCTGTCTCTTTTTATTTTCCTCCATTTCCCCAGTCCTTCATCTCTGACACGCTCCCCCCCCAGAATCATAGGAAGTGTAGTTTACTTCTCACAGAACAACAATTCCTAGAGCCCTTAACAAACTACAGATCCCAGGATTCTTAGAGGGGGTGCACTTTAAATGTACACAGCCTCTTAGAAAAGCCAAACACAATAATGAGCTATCACTTCCTTCATCCTATGGTCCAAGACAGAGTCACTCTTGACCTTATCTCTGGTTTCAGCACCTTCTGATGTGACTGGGTGTATTGAAAAATGAATCCAGACTGACAACAGCTCCCTCTCTAGACCCACAATGCATTGCTGACTTTAACCTACATAAGTCTTGTAGATGATAATTTATGACATGTACCCATTGCGAATTTTCAGACGACCTGTTGATGACCTGACTTACAGCCCAAATCTAAGCGTATTTACTTAGAAAGCCTCGCTCAACTTAGTGGGGTTTAAGCCCGAATGTGTGTGCAAGCAGAATACTGCAGACTTGCTTACCTTTCTAGAGTGAACTTCTTTGGCATATAAAGGATATAAAAATTCTGACTCCCGTTCTAGCCGAAGTCCTTCGCTTTGAACATAAAGGTATCCCATTCCAATCTGTAATGACAAAAGACTCCAAGCTTTTAGATGCACTGCATTTCTTACTCAAGTGATTTTAAAATTCTCACCAGATTATCATGCCCGCCTTCTTCAAACAGTGGATAAAAATGCGCAAGAGTAACCCTGACCATATGAGAAAAGAGGGGAAAGATTACGACAACATTACGACAAGACAGCATTAGGGGTATGGGGTGTGGGAAGAACCACAACAGGCATTTCCTTATACAGTGGTACCTCGGGTTAAGTACTTAATTCGTTCTGGAGGTCTGTTCTTAACCTAAAACTGTTCTTAACCTGAAGCTCCACTTTTGCTAATGGGGCCTCCCACTGCCACTGCTGCATGATTTCTGTTCTCATCCTGAAGCAAAGTTCTTAACCCGAGGTACTATTTCTGGGTTAGCGGAGTCTGTAACCTGAAGCGTATGTAACCTGAAGCGTATGTAACCTGAGGTACCACTGTAGTGGTGTTCAGTAGAGATGTAAACTTTCCAGAAATTCTGAAGCCATGAAAAAATATGTCCAACCCCCTATTTTATTTTTTTGTGGGGAGGAAACAGACATTTCTGTGGAAATGAGAAAATCTGCAATACTTCTTTTCTTAGCACCCTTTACGGATCAGAAGTTGCTTTATTAGCTTAGGGACATCAAATGCATTATTTACAATTTGGTTTGCCATGAAATTATCAGGTTAAAGGTGCAGTTTATTCAGACAATAGTTACACATGCAAAAAAAAAGATGATGAAGGACTCTCACTGGAGAAAACCACATCACTTTAAGAATCCAAATGGTCAGAGCAAGATCCACAACTAGGATGATGATGAGGAGGAGGACGAAGAGATAAAGGCAGCGCTTCCTCCAACCGTAGATGCCAACGTTGTAGACATATTGCGTTTCTGGTCTCTGTAGGTTAGTACCTGGTGTTGTTGTAGTATACTGTTCACGTACCATCTGCTAGAGAAGAAAAATAATCATTAGAAAATCATTAAAATGTTTTGGACTGCAATGCATAACCAGTTACTTAGCTACATTAATTGATTTTAAAAATTGCCCCTAATGAATTGGAAAGCAATTAAGAAGGAAAAACCCACAACATTATTTGCAGATGGCAAGCATCTTTTAAAAGAAGCACTCTGCCTTTTAGGAGAAAATACCTCTTCTGAGATGATGTCTGCTATGACAATGCAAGCATCATTAAAAAATACAAAAAGTTAATTGATGGAATAATCTAGAATGATATGATTAAGATTTCCTTAACAGCTCTAAAATTATGCTTGCTTTGTCCGTCCCGTCCCCCGGTAAAATGCTTTAACTGCTGGCTGTAAATGACGGCCTTTGGTCTTTTTTCTAGATTATGAGCTATTGCCTATGGTTTGAATAAGAGAGTCTAGGTCTAAATTGTGCATATCCTCAACTCTGTACTGTTCAAACTCGGGGCTGATCCAATAAATTTTGTGACCTGAGGCAAAGGACAAGATGACACAGCCCTATACTGTGTACAGAAGCTGACCAGGCTGACAGCTGAACCTTACTTCAGCAATGGCAATGGGACAACATTCTCCACCACACCTGAGGGAAGCAGGCTAGCTTTTAGGGGTACATAGCAGGTTGCATGGGGTACACAGCTCTGTCCTCTAGTCTCTCCCTGCTGCTTACTCAATCTGCCTAATGGGTGGGCTGGCCCTGCCCGAAATGCTGACAGCTGAAGGCAGGTGTGGGAACCTCTGACCCAGGGGCCAATACTGGCCCACCAGGAGGTCAAATTTGGGCTGGAATGCCAAACCACACATACCTGCCCATTAGCTGGGTGGATAGCGGAGTGGTGGTCAATCCTGTTGGGTGCTGCTTTGTCAGCACGTTCCCACCCCTCAGGTCAATGTTTACATGAAGGAGGGAACGTCCCAACTTTCAGTCTCCTGATATCATGATGTCAGATGACTGACAGGTGGGTGACCTCATTCCCTGTCAGAAGCTGACCTGGGGTGGGGAGAGATACATATCTGGTTCACTAGGAGACCAATTGAAATTAATGAATTATGACTGATTTGGACCCACTAATATCAATTTGCCTATTCTTAGTTTCCATGCGCTGCTCTGGTTTGCCAGAAGTGGCTTAGTCATGCTGGCCACATGACCCGGAAACTGTACGCCTGCTCCCTCAGCCAGTAAAGCGAGATGAGCGCTGCAACCCCAGAGTCGTCCATGACTGGACCTAACGGTCAGGGGTCCTTTACCTTTAACTTTACAGTGTACCTCGGGTTACATACGCGTCAGGTTACATATGCTTCAGGTTACAGACTCCGCTAACCCAGAAATAGTACCTCGGGTTAAGAACTTTGCTTCAGGATGAGAACAGAAATCGTGCTCCGGCAGTGTGGCGGCAGCAGGAGGCCCCATTAGCTAAAGTGGTGCTTCAGGTTAAGAACAGTTTCAGGTTAAGAATGGACCTCCGGAATGAATTAAGTACTTAACCCGAGGTACCACTGTACTCTTAGTAGAACTTAGATGGATGCAATCCATAAAAGATGAATTCCTTCTGTGATTCTTTATACGTTAAGAAATATGTAATTTATAGGGTTTGGGTTTTATTATGGATATATTGATGCTATCATGCACATCCTATTTAAAGTGAATAGGAATGGTAGAAGAATATGGAGAAACTCTACCCCACGACTGGAGTAAGGAATCTGCAAAACCAATGTAACATGATTTGTAACATTGAGCTGCAACAACTATTGTTAGCTCAAAGATTCAACAACTCCTATGGCTGAACCTTTATTTTACAACCGTGCCAATATAAAAAACTGGGTTGAAAATTAATGGCAGTCTAGAGATATGTAGAACTCCTATCTTTAGACATTTACATTCCAGCATGAATTTTGCTTAACCCACATGCTTTGAAAGCATGGGCTTTCTTGGATTATATTCAAAATGAACAAGACTCATAGAATGGTAAAGTTGGAAGGGACCCATTGAGGGTCATCTAGTCCGACCCCCTGCAATGCAGGAATCTCCACTAGGTCATGCATGGCAGATGGCCATCCAACCTCTGCTTAAAACCTCCCAAGGAAGCTAAGTTTGCGTAGTTTAAAACTTGGAAATTGAACAACTAATGATTAAAAGTAAATTTCTAGAGTCTGCGAAGTCAGTAGACTTGACACGTGTTTATTTAATGACACACTGAGAAAATAGCCAGGCACATTGCTGGTTAATAATAGCCACAGCAGCTGCTACACAGTTTGAATTAACAAGAGTAGAACTTCACTACTTACAGTGTGTCCAGAGAGCAAAGAAATAGGCTTTTTAAAGCAAATGTTCAAAAGTTTTGGGGGCAGGGGGAGGAAGAGGTAATTCAATTTGGTGGCTAATAAAGAAAACCACTACTTCCAGCTTCTTTTCATTGCTCATTAAGAAGATTCTCCCTTTCGTTTTCCATTCATTAACCTGTAGATTACTGTTCATTCATTAACCTGTAGCCATTCAGCCATCACAACCGGCATGGAAAGCATAAAAGGACCCAGCAGTCAGGAAGCTAGGAAAGAACTTCACTCTCTCTTTAAAAGGAAAAGAGCAACAAGAAGTACTCCTCTCAGATGCAACCAAGTCCAGTGACAACCATATGATGAGACTACCCCCCAACAAGATCTAGTGCTGACTTATCACAGCCCATGTTCCTCTCACTTCTTCTCTCGCTTAAATGAAAACTCCATTTGAATGTACATTTGACAGCACTTCAGAACTGAATAAGGAGAGCTTGAATTGTTCTTTCTTTCTAAAAAACACAAATAGGATGCTGGAGAGAAGGAAAGATGAGCAAGTCAGCAAAGTGATTCCATCACATTTACTTATTTACAAGGTGTGACCGGAAAGTTCGGTGAATGATCGCAGAAATCGGACAGCGAGAAATATTTGAACATACAATTGGCATCGGAAACCCACAAAATGCTCACAATTGTGTACGGAGACGAAGCTGTAACTCATAAGACAGTGTATGAATGGTTTAAGCATTTCCGTGAAGGGTGGCAAACCATCAAGAATGACCCTTGGTCTGGCAGACTGTCAATGAGCAGAATGGTGGCAAATGTCAACAGATTCAGGTAGGTAGCCATGTTGGTCTGACGCAGTCGAAATATATAAAAAAATTGCTACTGGACAATTTTTTAATATATTTCAAATGTCGACAAAGTTCGTGAGTTATTGATGCAGGACTGGCGTTTGTCCGTCCAAATGATGGCAGAAGAATTGCATATTCCTGTGTGCGATCGTTACTGAGGTTACTGAGTTGTCCTACCCTCCATATTCTCCTGATCTGGCCCCACTGGATCCCCCCCCCAAAAAAAACTGAAATCTGCACTGAAAAGGCAAAGAATTTCCAACATTTCACACGTCCAAGCTGCTGTGATGAGGGAACTGAAAGCAGTACGAAAAGAGGACTTCTCCAGAAGTTTCCAACAGTTCTATGAACGTTGTCAACGGTGCGTTGTATCAGAGGGGGCCTACTTTGAAGGCCTGTAAGCTATGTATGTTTGAATATTTCTCACTGTCCGATTTCTGTGACCATTCACCGAATTTTCTGGTCACACCTTGCATTTTTTAAAAGAAAATGTATACAGTATACCACTGGATTGCAAGAGAACCTCTGAATAGTTTACAAAAAAACCCACCCATATAGAAGGTACAGAAATCTCAGCTTTCCCCATGCTCTCAATCTCATGCCCAACAATTCAAATAACAATCACCAACCAATTTTACAACATAAAGATGATTCCTACTGTGTACTACCTGCTGTTAAAAGTTAGCACTGTAAGTTTGCCCTGCCTCTGCTGCTAGCACAATAAAGGAGGAAAAATACTTGCTTTCAGAACACTGCCAATTTAATGTGAAATATTTACGCACAACCATGCTGTTTCATAGTACTCTTTGAGATGCTACTCTTTTCAGTCATCTAAAAGAGAGCCAGGCTTTGGAGCCCTAGCCACTTTGCATAATGGCCCACCTTTTGGAGGGGATCAAGTGCCCACAGCTGTTTCTGATCCCTCTGGTGCACCATCTCCATCTGTACTTGTGGCACCAGTCCAGTTTCTAGCTATGCACGTAGAAAGTGCATGGATTGTGGGGATGTTCTTCTCCCCTGTGTATGTATAGATGGAAGCAGGGCAATCCGTCCCAGTGTGCATAAGAAGGGAACAACACGCTAGGTGGGTGGGTGGAGAGATGTGTCTGCTCACTCCCATCCATGCATCAGGGCTGTCAGAAAGGCAGGCACATATCATGCAAACTAACCTATTGTCATCTACAGTAGGAGCCTTGAGAAGCCCAAAATACAGACAAGCAACTCCTTGTGTTAATATACGTAAGCTGAAAACAGCTGCAGACTGCTCACCGCAGGGATCGCGCGAGACATGAAAGGGCTTTCCAAGGCTCCCGAGCTAAGGATTTAGCGCAAGGAGTGTTGCAATCAGTTAACATCACCACCACAATGTTATTTGTGGTGTCACTCAGAAGAAGAAGAAACAACTTTTCACCACTACAGAACTCAATCAATATGGACTGGATGTAATCCTTGTGTGAATTTCCCCCGAGAGAAACTCATCAGCAAACAAGCGCCGAGTCTTCCAAACCCATATTTGAATTTCTAGTAAATATTTATGAGGCTCAACAACAAAGTGAGTACGAGTGCAATCCTAGGTGGGATGTGGAGGGGTACGAAGCGGTAAATAGCCGCTTTCAAAGCCCTGCTGGCTCCTGGCAAGTCAGAGCAGGAGGTTGGCATAGCAGGGGTTTGCGTGTTGCCGTGCATCTCTTTTTCCTTTTCTTTTCTTCTCTTCCATTCCAATAATGCGGAGAACTGTTATACCAGCTTCAGGCTGCCACAGAGGGAAGGTCTGATCCTGAGACGACTTCTTCAAGGAATAAAGGGGTCATGGATCCACCAAGTCCTCTGTCCACCTACA